AAAAAGCCACGCTTGGTAGTGCGTGTCTCTAGTTCCAGCTACTTGAAAGGCTTAGGTGGATGGATCGCCGGAGCACAGAAGGTCGACACTGGGGTGGCTGTGAGCGTGCTACTGTACTCCAGCCTGGGCGACTGAGTGAGACTCCAACTCAAAAAACAAACAAACAACAAAACCCATTAGAATCTGGCCTACAGTGCCTTTAACACATGTTGACTTACAAAACATCTTAGCAAAAAGATAATTTTGTAAATACGTTTTGAACTTTGATACTAAATTTATTTGTACAAATGCTTTAAAAACAACACCAACCACCTTAGTTTGGCTGTTACTAAAGGCTGACATTCACTTTGGAATGTAGTTGTATAAATATTTGTGCTCATGGTTATATGAAAACTTAATTTTCAAATCCAATTCTTTTGAAAAAGTTATCTTGTAAATATCAGAATATAAATTAATTTTTAAACCTCAACATATTAAATTTGAAGAAGAAAATGTTATAAATTATGACACCTGTCATGTGCTTGGAAATTTGCCAAATCACATTATTAATAAATCTTCCTAAATTAAATGTAGAAGAGATGTCACCTGGGTAAAGTGTTGGGAAGGAACTGTGCTTACCTCTCTCGTCACAAAGCATTCCATTGGGTATGTCAAAATGACAGTGACGCCATAACAAAATCTTCCAAATGTTACCAGGTCATCATTTCTGCAATAATTTTCAAATAGGTCTCCTAGAGAATCATATAAAATAAATGTATTTACTAGATACTGGATATTTGAGATAATTATCTAATAAATGAAATAGCATATATTTATTCTAGTCAAATATCTCCTAACAGACCGCATACACAAGGGTGATCCCATAAGATTATAATGCTGTATTTTTACTGTATGTTTTCTATGCTTGGATACACAAATACTTACTGTTGTGTTACAATTACCTACAGTATTCAGTATGGTATCAAGCTGTACAGGTACAAGCCTAGGAGCAACAGGCTATACCACACAGCCTAGGTGTGTTGTAGGCAAGGCCATCCAGGTTTGTGTAAGGACACTCTATGATTTTCACACAATGACAAAATCGCTTAAGGATGCACTTCTCAGGACATAGCCTTGTCATTAAGTGACGCATGACCATATATAAGTGAATCTCTATCATAAACTTCATTTAATTAAAAAAAATAGACTACTGGGTCTAAATATAAGTTTTTGCATTCAATACCTATGTAGTTACTCACTGATTTTAAGCCAGTACAAGCTTCACTTGAAGATTAAATCCATCACTAATAATTTTTCTCCTACTCTCATTGTTTGTTTTTGGTAGATTTGCTTCAAATTTGTATCAACTTCTGAAAAATACTTTATCCATTGTTTTCTCACATCAGAATCAACTCCCTAAATTCTTGTTCATTGGCTTTGTAAACTTGCTTCTGGTCTTTGTTTCTGGTGAATAAGTGACTTTATTATTTTTTTTAAATGTCTGTTAAAATAAACAAATTTCCTTTTGAAATGCTATTCTTAGATCAAGAACAATCCTGAAAGGAAGAGTAGATCAGTACATCTGGGGAGCTGAATTTCCTGTATATCATGCTATAGGGTTTAATCACAAACTTGGGGTCACAGCAAGGAATTCCAAACATACATTGTCTTTCCTGGCATCTAATAAGGCCAAATGTAATGGCACTGATTCAAACTGTGGAAATATGGCTATTTTCCAGAAAAAATCATTAAATTTAATCCATTCCAAACTAAATGATGGACCATACATTCCTTGAAATAAATCTTATTTAGAGACATTATTTCTCAACTATCTATGAAGAAATACAGGGATTTAATTAGGGGATTGAAGTTGTGTCAGCAGAAAATATTTACTAATGTTAAAACCGAATATGTGGTTTTAACATGCTTAAATTTGAATATTATTATTCATTATTAACATACTTAAATTTAACATGCTTAAATTTGAATATGTGAATATAACATGCTTAAATTTGAAAATTATGGCCACCTTTTAAAAAATTAAAACTGTTGATAGGAGTGTAAACTAGTACAACCTCTGTGGAAAACAGTGTGGTGACTCCTAAAAGAACTAGAAACTGACCTTCCATATGACTTAGCAATCCCCCTTCTGGGAATATACCCACAGGAATGCAAATCATTCTACAAAAAAGATACCTGAGCACATATGACTCTTCTCCACTCCCCCATCAACTAGAACAAAAACACATTACTTTATATGTCCCTTTTGGGCAGAAGGGGATTAAATCACTAAGCAGAGATGGCAGAGACCTGTGTCAAGGTTGATTGTAAAGATTCTGGCACTCTGAGAAAAAAGAACTGAAGCTTCCTGTTCATTAACCTCCTTTAAGAAATGGGCCCTGGGCCAGGCTCAGTGGCTCAGGCTGTAATCCCAGCACTTTGGGATGCTGAGGTGAGTGCATTGCCTGAGCCTGTGGGTTCAAGACCAGCCTGGGCTACTTGGCAAGACATCTTCTCTACAACAAATAAAAATTATTCTGGTGTGGTAGCGCGTGCCTGTAGTTCCTGCTACTTGGAAGGATCACTGGAGCCCAGTGACGCTGGGGTGGCTGTGAGTGTACCACTGCGCTCCAGCCTGGGTCACAGAGTGAGATGCAGGAAGGAAGGAAGGAAGGAAGGAAGGAAGGAAGGAAAGAAGGAAAGAAGGAAGGGGAAGAAAGGGAAGAAAGGGAAGGAAAGGAAGGAAGGAAGGAAGGAAGGAAGAAAGAAAGAAATGGGCCCTGCATTTTTCCAAAAGTCACTGGGAATATCAAGAATAATCCAGAGTTCCCACTGTCTCACAGCTGAAATTTGTCTACTAAAAGGGGTAAGACAAGAATCGTGCAGTTTGCAGATATAAGATGAGATTTGCATAAGGAGAAATGACCTGGGGAAACAATGCTAGCTTATGCCAGCCTGCATCTAAGTGTATTTTAGGGAATTATAGCTAGGGGGAAAAACAACCACAACATCAAACACCTGTCAGCTTTGTTTAATCAAGATTTAATTATATCTGAGCAATTACCACTGATAAAAACACTAGGAAAGTGTGACTAACAAAAAAGGTTTATGACTTACAGAAAAGACATTTAAAAACCAAAATTCTGACCGGTGCCCACAGGTCATTTGTCTTGGCAAACTATAGCATTAGTGAAACATGGCAATGTTTTGGAACACCATACCTACGAGGACGTCAAGGTCACTTTGTTACTGCACTCTAATGGCACATGCGTGTATTATATTTTTGACTTCTTTGGAATTAGTTATTATTTTTTGAAGTCATCTTTCTTCATTTCCTAAAAAATATCTGCCTATAATTATAGTGATGTGTCACCCCTATTCAAAACAAGGCAGGCCAGGCTCAGTGGCTCAGTCAGTAATCCCAGCACTTTGGGAGGCTGAGGCAAGAGGAATGCCTGAGCCTGAGGGTTCAAGACCAGCCCAGGCAACTTGGTGAGACCTCATCTATAAAATTAAAAAAAAAAAAATCAGCTGGTTGAGGTAGTGCAGGCCTGTAATTCCGGCTACTTGGAAAGCTGAGGCGAAAGGATCGCTGGAGCCCAGTAGGTCGATGCTGGGGTGGCCGTGAGCGTGCCACTGCACTGCCACCTGGGTGACCGAGTGAGATTCCAACTCAAAAACAAAACTAAATTCAACTAAACAAGGCAGCCATCCTCCCAAGAGCACCCTAGTATCTTCAGAAAACTAAGCTAAGAGGAGCTGGAAGCTAAAGGGCAGCTTTAGTGGGTTATGCTTGACCAAAATGGAGGAGACAGAAAGAGAATGGAAAGAGAATGACTTGGGAGTCAGAAGACTTGTTTTCTAGTTTGTCACCAGCCAGCAAAGGCAAGTTACTTCACTTTGTGTTTTAATCAGGGGGTAAAACTAGTTATACCACTTCTCTTCAAAGGGTTGCTTGAAGGTCAGTGAGATAACAGACCTGCAAGAGCTGTGAAATATATGAATCACAGCAGTGAGCCTGCTGTTGGGTTGGCCAGAACATTACACTACATAGGTGATTGAATGTAAGGGTCAAAGGAAGTAGAAAAAAGGACCACTCAGTGGCTAGGACAGGGTAAATTCAAGACAAGAGAAGTAACTTTAAAGGGAGAGAGGGAAAGATGATGTTTTGTGATTAAGGCAAGAATGGGACAACTTGAGTAGAAAAGTCCTACAGGCAACTGGATGGAGCTAAAGAAAAATCTGAACTAGAATTAAAACAGTGAAATGTCCAGAGAATTTGTTGAGAAGAAAAACAAGCAAGGTGACTGAGCCAGTTATCTGAGTGGGGCGGGACAGGGGTGGAGTAGGGAATTAGAAAGAGCAAAGACAGAGAAAAGAAAAGAAAAAAAAAAGAATTAACAGAGAGAAAGAAAAACAATGATAATATAGTAGTGCTCCTTTTTTTCCCTTTGGATTATATATATATTTTTAATTTTTAATTTTGAAGATGTGGGGTACAATTTAGGGTTAGGTATACAAATGCTCATTATGCAGGTACCCTTGATGAGTGCTCTTTCCTCCATGGGAGGAAACCCTGAGCAAAGCAAGGAAGTTCAGTATCACTAAGTGATTCAGAGAGATTCAGGAGAATCAGAACCAAGAAGGTTATTCACTTTGATGACTAAGAGGCCATCGGTAACCTTGACAATGAAGCTGCAGTGGATTAGTTGGGAGGAAAGCCAGCATTCATGTGCTTGGAAGTGGAAGCATGGAAGGAGCGTATGGACTACAGAATTAAGTTTAGCAGTTAAACCAGGCACGGTGGCTCACACCCATAATCCCAGCACTTAGGGAGGCAGAGGCGAGAGGATTGCCTGAGCCCATGGGTTTGAGACCAGCCTGGGGAACTTGGTGAGACCTCGTTTCTATAATAAATCAAAAAATTAGCTGAGGGTGGTGGCCTGTAGTCCCAGCTACTTGGGAGACTGAGGTGGAAGGATTGCCTGAGTCCAGCAGGTTGAGGTTGTGGTAGTGGTGATCATGCCAGTGCACTCCAGTCTGGGTGACAGAGTGAGATTCCAACTCAAAAAAAAAAAAAAAAAAGTTTAGCAGTTAAGAAGGAAACAATTAGAAACAGAGACAGCAGAGAGGCAGGAGGGCAGAGGAGAGAATGGGCAGAAAAGAGTGATCCTTTGAAACAGAACACTGCGTTTATGTGTAGTAATCCACATGAACAGAAAAAGCTGATATGACTGAATCTTTCATCTCACCTTGAGTGAAGCCAGTAAATGTCAAGTATCCACATGTAGCAAAAAGCATACAGATAAATACAGAAACCACGATGGACATATGGATGACGCGGGACCACTTAGCTACTGTGGGTTCTTTTAAAGAACTGTAAACTAAGAAGGAGTTGTGGTGGCAAATAAATGCTGCAATGTAAAAAAAAAAAAAAGAAAGAAGAAAGAAAAGCATTATTAAAGTAAACATCAGGGCATCGGGATTTTTTTTTCTTAGTTCTGAAAACTAAGAAATGTGTGCTACTTTAGATGCCAATGAACCGAAATTTAAATATACCAATTTATTATGTATGACAAAATAATGTTTTCTGGCCAGGCAGGAAGATCGCTTGAGACCAGGATTTTGAAACTAGCCTAAGCAACATAGCAAGACCCTATTTCTACATAAAACAAAACAACAATATTTAGCTGTGCATAGTGGCTCATGCCTGTGGTCCTAACTACTTGGGAGGGTGAGGCAGGAGGATCACAAGCCCAGGAGTTCAAGGTTATAGTGAGCTATGATTGTACCACTACACTCCAGCCTGAGTGACAGAGCAGAAACTGTCTCCTAAATTAAAAAAAATAATAATAATTTTTCTAATAGCTCTAGAAATGAGAAAGTTCATTCACTTCAGGCTTGTACATGGTCTCTTCATGTCAGTCGATATACACCAGGCCAATCCAACCTTCTCTCCCATTTTCCTTTTCCTAGTGAACCACTCATCTTAAGGAAAATCAAAACAGGCCAAGCACTGTGGCTCAAGCCTGTAACTCCAGCACTTTGGGAGGTCAAGGCAAGAAGACTGCCCGAGTCCAGGGGTTCGAGACTAGCCTAGGTAACTTGGCAAGACCTTATCTCTACAATAAATAAAAAAATTAGCCAGGTGTGGTAGCATGCGCCTGTAGTTCCAGCTACTTAAAAGGCTGAAGTGGAAGAATCGCCAGAATCCAGCAGGTCGACACTGGGGTGGCCGTGAGCGTGCCACTGCACTGCAGCCTGGGCGACAGAGTGAGATTCCAACTCAAAAAAAAAAAAAAAAAAATCTAAACAGCACCATAATTTTCAGTCCATGGCTTCCTTTGCCATCTGAAATATAACAGAGTAACTTTAGACATCTGGGCAATTCATAATACTTTGTGTACAAGGATTTGAAGAAGTCTGTAACACTAACACTTGCTAGACTTCCAAGTTAAGAAACAAGATGACTATAATGAGTTTTCTGCACGAGAAATAGATTTCTCCAAATTAAAGCAAATTTTAGTGATGGGTGAGAAAAGTTTGAACCTAATTTTATATTGGCACCAACTCGATCGCATGCTGCTAATGGGAAGTCCTACAACTTAGGACATCTGCTATCCCGACATAAATATGAAACACAGCACTTTTTCATTGAACAGACAACTCGATATCAAGAAAGGGCCTTTGAAACCATGTACTCACCAAAAGACATGACCCCAACAGCCTGAATGGCATTGGGCTTTGCAAATACCCAGGCATCTTCTGTTTTTGGACTAGAAGAGAAATCAGTTAACTTGATCAATTATTAAGTAAATTCAAGTATGAGTATTTCAGAGAATAAGAAATGGTGTCACAAATATAAATTGTATATCTTTAAGCCAGAAATTAATAAGGGGACCCCATTAATCCTATTTAATCATGAATACATTTTCCTGGAACATCAGTGTTATCTCTTAATCCCAATCCTCTGAAATGCATGTCAAGTACTTAGACAGATTTTCTTTTTGCATATGTCAAAATATTTATTTTTGACCATGTAATTTTTTCAATTTGTTTATTTGCTCATCAACATAAAAACAAACATCAGCTATGCACTCACTAGTTGAGATATTCATCGAGGGAGATATAAAAATGTCTAATTACTGCTTTTTATTTCCCTCTTATTTTTCCAGGCTCAGCCTACCCAGGGAAAATGTAGTCCACATACAGTTTGCTGAGGTAGGTAGACATAAACTAATACTAATTGAGGGTATACTGATAGTGTTCAGGGAACTCTGCTGTGTTATCTCATTTAATTTGCACAACATTGAATTTTTATTATCATCATTTAACACATGAGGAAAGTCAAGCTCTGGATGGTGATATAATTTGCTGAGCATCCACAGATGATATGTGAAGAAGTTGAGATGTATCTTCTTGGTCTGTTCATTATAATAACTCTTGCATGCTGAATAGTCTGTCAGTGGCCTCAAATTCTCACCCGTGGATACACTCCTCAAAGGAGTTTTGTAAGTATATGCACTTTAAATAGTTTGAAACAGCCTACAATCCAGTGTAGTTAAAACATTTGACACTGGATTGATCTACCTGGTCAACATACCTTAAGTAACAACAATGAACAGCACAGGCTCCAAGATCAGACAGCCTGTGTTGTTCTGACCTTCTCTATTTATTAGCTGTGTAATTTTAGGCAAGTTACTAGACTTTCCTGTGCTTCTATTTTAACATCTATAAAATGGAGATAATAGTAGTATCTAATTCACTGAGTTATTGTGTAGATTCAATGAGATGAAATATGTAAAACTTCTGGAAGAGAGTTTATCACAGTATATGTTCAATAACAGTCATTTTCTCATCATTATATATTAATACTGTTATTGTCCACTGTTATTTAATAGAACATAGCAAAAAGTCTGAACGTATAGCTAACTTCCCTGTAAAGGAAAGGCTCAAACAAGACTCAAAAGAATGCGCAAAGAAGGAATAGAGGTGGGATCCTAGGAAGCATAAGGGCGGCCAGCCTTGGTGGCACACACCTGTAATCCCAGCACTTTGGGAGGTGGAGGGGAGAGCATTGCCTGAGCCGACAGGTTCCAGACCAGCCTGGTCAACATGGCAAGACTTCATCTCTACAATAAATCAAAAAATTAGCTGGGTGTGGTAGCACGCGCTTGCAGTTCCATTTACTTGGAAGGCTGAAGTGAACGGATGGCTGGAGCCCAGCAGGTTGAGGCTGCGGTGGCCGGGAGCGTGCCACTGCACTCCAGTCTGGGCGACAGAGTGTGACTCCAAGTCAAGAAAAAAGAAAGCATAAGGGGACTCGGTGTTAAATGAAAAAGAGGAATTCTGAAGAGGAACACCCACCTGTTTCATCAATTTGTTATTCGTTCTCTATGTAAAGAGGGCTCACGAAAAAACCCTGTTTGCCTTGCCAAAGTTTGTGGGGCTTATGCATTATATCATCTTTCTTTCCATACACGAAACGAGCAGTTAAAGATACAAAGGAACTTTACAGACAGGCTGGCCTGCCAGGGAGGCCACAGATTGCTACATTTGCACCAAGTTTGGGCTTTTGGAGTGGGAGCTGCTGCCACCTGCTGCCTCCACGACTCTAACTGCAGTCAACATTAAAACAGTAGCTAATCTATTGGATTCCAATGTTAATGCAGAAAAATACACACGTGTACAAGATCCTTAGAAAGTGATACGAATCAGGCAGCACTAACAGTAGTAGAAACTTGAAGATTCTCGAACTTTTGTCATATGCTTTAAATGATAACGCTTTCCCTGTTAGGGTTTTTGCACGTGAAAAATTTCACCTCCTCCTCCCCAGTACAGACAGCAGTGGTGTCCTACTTTTGAAATCTTATATTAGTATAATGAAAATGTTGGAGTTTGATTTTCATTTTTTCCTTCCATTTAAGTTTTTAAGTTTTTTTCCCCCTGGTCCATATGGTTCCTTGAGTATATTCTTGGAGTGTGAAACAATACCTAAAGATAATTTTGGATTTTCTCTGTTCATCTTAGTGATGATGATTTTATAAGATGGAAAGTGCCAAAAAAGATGTCACAGATAGGAAAATGCATATGTCCAAATCTAGAGAAAGAGAAAGGAACAGATATTGAGTACAGCTTTCCAATCATTTATAAAATAGCCTAGGATTGAGTTCCAGAAACAACCAGTTGTATAAGAAAAAAAAGTCAGAGAAAGTTAATGGGTATATTTAATGAGATTGCCAAGACCCTGATGCCTGGCCTGGATGAAAAAATGAAGTTACAGACCTTCTGTCTTTAAACTATAAATGCTGTTATATAAAATGAAATATTATCAAATGCTGTCAAGCAATTTATAACATTAAAAAATTGTTCATTCAACAGATGCAAAGGTAGCTAAATATCAAAATATTAATAAATATTAATGTAATCAATCTCTAGTAACATCCACTAAATTAGATAGATATTAGTATAGTTTACCACATTAATAGATTAATGGAGAAAAAAGCTTATGATCATTTCAAACTACATAGAAAAGCATGCAATTCAGTATTTATTTTGATAAACATGCTAAACAAACTAATAATAAAAGAGAACTTCCTTAACCTGATAAGTAATGTCTACCAAAATCTATAGCAAATGATATTTTTTAAAGTGAAAAGTTAGAAATATTACAATTAAAGAATAAAATCAGATAAAATGTTCAATATCATTGCTTCCAGAATATGCTATTGAAATTCCTAGCTAATTCAATAACTAAGATGTATAATCATTGGAAAAGGGAAAGTCATTTATAAACAATTTAATTATGTACATAAAAAATTCAGGGAGGCCGGACTTGGTGGCTCAGCCTGTTATCCCAGCTCTTTGGGAAGCCGAGGTGACTGGATTGCCTGAGCCCGCAGGTTCGAGACCCACCTGGGCAACTTGGCGAGACCTCATCGCTACAATAAATCAAAAATTAGCCGGGCGTGGTAGCACGCGCCTGTAGTTCCAGCTACTTGGAAAGCTGAGGTGGAAGGATCGCTGGAGCCCAGCAGGTCGAGGTTGCAGTGGCTGGGAGCGGCCACTGCACTCCAGTCTGAGTGACAGAGTGAGACTCTAACTCAAAAAAAAAAAAAAAAATTCAAGGAAATCTACTGACAAACTATTGGAATTAATAAGTGTAGTCAGCAAGGTTACTGACTACATGTTCAATACACAAAAGTATCAATAGGGTTGATTTACACAAATAATAGTGAATTATAATGTTCCTTAAACGGTAGTGACAACAAAACACTAAATACGCCTGGTGCTATGGATCATGCCTATAATCCCAGCAATTTTGGAGGCTGAGGTGAGAGGATTGCCTGAGCCCTCTGGTTCGAGACCAGCCTGGGCAACTTGGTGAGACCTCATCTCTATAATAAATTAAAAAAAAAAATAGTCGGGCATGATGGCACGTGCCTGTAGTTCCAGCTACTTGGGAGGCTGAGGCTGAAGGATCGCCTGAGCCCAGCCAGTTGAGGCTGCGGTGGCCAGGAACGTGCCAGTGCCCTCCAGCTTGGGTGACAGAGTGAGACTGCAACTCAAAAATAAATAAAACACACACACACACACACACACACACACACCCCAAAAAACCAAAAGCACTAAATACTTTAAAAGAGGTGCATGATCATAATGTCATGTTATATTTTTATTGGAAGACATAAATAATTGGAAAAATATACTATGTCCACATACATGAATGAGAAGACTCAATATTATGTAAAACCAATTCCTCTCAGTTAATTTTTAAATTCAAATAATAAAATGCAACACTGAAGAAGAAAACAATTTTTAAAATTCAAAAAACCAAAAATCAGTTTAAGATAGATAATAGATAGATAGACAATAGATAAACAATAAAATCAATGAAAAATAAACACACAAACATTTGTATCATAAAATAATTCTTACACAAAGTTAAAAATATAAAGATAAGTTAAAGACTGGAAGATAAGATTGGTCATACATATGCAGTGAATCCTCCGTACGTGGGAAAGATTTGTTCCAGGATCCTCCCCTTCGATAACAAAATCCACAGATCTCAAGTCCCTGATATAAAATAGTGTGCTATTTACACATAAGTTAAGCATATCTTTTCATTCAAAAAAATATATATGCCTGTAATCCCGTGCCTTTGGAAGGCTGAGGTGAGTGGATTGCCTGAGCCCGCGGGTTCGAGACCCGCCTGGGCAGGCGACACCTCATCTCTACAATAAATCAAAAAATCAGCCGGGCATGGTAGTGCGTGCCTGTAATTTCGGCTACTCGGAAGGCTGAGGCGGAAGGATCACTGGAGCCCAGCAGGTCGAGGCTGCAGTGGCTGGGAGCGGCCACTGCACTCCAGTCTGGGCAATAGAATGAGACTCCAACTCAAAAAAAAAACCAAAAACAACAACAACAACAACAACAAAAATATATATATATGAAAAAAAATATATATATATATTTGAATTGAAGTCTTACTCTGTCACCCAGGCTGAAGTACAATGGCATGGTCACGGCCACTGCAGCCCTGACCTGCTGGGCTCAGGTGATCCTTCCAAGTAGCTGGAACTACAGGCAAGTGCCACCATGCTCGGCTAGTTTTTTGATTTATTGTAGAGATGAGGTTTCATAAAGTTGCCCAGGCTGATCTCGAACTCCTGAACTCAGGCAATCCTCTCATCTCAGCCTCCCAAAGTGCTGGTATTACAGGCTTGAGCCACTGGCTCCAAACCTACTTTTTAACCTCGAATTTCCATAAGTATTC